ACCCACTTCTATCAATCGAAAGGAGACTGCCACCACACCAGAGGCCACAACATCTTGGTCTTCATATATTTCAATTTTTATTTTTTTAATATATTTTTCTCACTCGTGATGACTTTTAATCGGTAGATTAAACTCAGAACGAATTCATCAGTCTCGGGATGGTATTCAGAGGTTTTATTCACTCAGCTTAAAATTCGCTGCCTCATGGCTAACATTCTTGAGACGAGTTTATCAGTTCCGTCCATCCAACTTTTTATGTGAACCTAACTTACATCACCCTATATGAATTTCGGTTTTTTTTCTAGCAATTTCCTATTCGCCCTTTCTCCCTCATCTATCTTTATGGTCTGGTATTATATGCGAGGTCATATTTAGTTCCTTAAGACGTAAACGAATAGATATATAATTGTCACAATGTGATTTGGCCTTTCAATAATTCAATGCTTTGGGGTGCAGAGTGTTGAAGATTATTACAAAATATATTTTCGCACATCTTCTGAAGTTGATTTATTTCATTTTTCATGGTTTGAATTATCCATATTTTATATTCTGTACCTAGCATAAAATATCTCTAGTATAAAAATAATTTCAGTGGCCTCTTCAACTGACGTTGAGTCGTCCATCGCGATGTCAGAGGCTGGCGAAGCTCGACCTGTCGTATCGATAATTAATGATAATTCTGTTAAGCCTCAAGATGGCGCAAACTCAGTAGAAACCAGTTCTATGCCTTGTGACACAATTTCTGCCAAGGTATCTGGGATATCGCCAAAGAAACAGCCAGCCCTCAAAACATCTGCTCTAGACTCACCATCGACAGCTCTGGTCTCTCGACCAATAGAAAGTATCTCACTCGATGTACCTCTAAAGACAGCAGCTGCAGAAAAAACTTGTGCTGATGGTGATGCTGGGAAAAAGATCAAGAAGAAGCGAAAGAAGAAAAAGAAGCAAGACCAATCTCAATCTGGCGCAGATATTTCTGTTGATGTCGGTGTCGAGCACTCTGGAGACTCAGATTAACTTGCATCACCATTTTTGGCCTCCTTACCACAACATCCGTTTACCTCTATGTTTTCCCATCTGCTTCTCCTTTCTTATACACGAAATTATAAACGACCTACCTTTATCATATCATTATTGGCTTTTTCATCCTTAATTTGTATGTGCACAAGCGACTACATGTTTTCACTCAATTTAATATCCTTCATCATACCACAATCCTACATTAGAGACTGGATTAAGCCCATTTCTCGCACGAAAATTATATGAAGAGATATTGTTTTGCCTTATTTAGACGAGTTAAAAGCACAACTCTGTTTCGTTATTTACTATAAATTTGTGCCTCTCTTTTGTTCAAATGGGTGATTTTATTTCATTCCGATTGCCTGTTTGCTTTTATGTGTAGATAAGTGGGCTTTATAATCCATGACTGGAAGTGTGCCTCATTCTGGCCACGCTATCTGTTGTTGTCTGGTCCTTAGTACACTTTTGCCGATTATGAGTTGAATTTCACTATTAATCTATCCAATAAGCGTTCCCTTTATCAAAGGTCCTTCTCCTAATATATATATGATGCTTCGCATTACTTAACTGGTGGAGTTTGCTCGTCCATTTGTTCCGCAATCAAAAAATTACACATTTTTCGTATATAAGGAGAGTTTCGAGACAAGTTCTCATATAAAAAATTACATATTTACAATTAATTGAATTACTTTTTATATTTCGACTGTTAAAATTAAAATTTTGCTGAAAAATGAATTCTCCCATTTGTGTCATTACAATATTAATAAAATAATAGTATAA